GAGCAACTTAAAACCCGGTTTTTTAACCAATAAATTTATAAAAAATATTTATAATTATAAAAAAAGTAAAATTGAAACGCTCGCCCGATTTCACGCGAGCGAAGTGGATGCGCTCGCGTGAAATCGGGCGAGCGTTCCCAAGTATCGTTTTTTTTCGTTGTTTTTTCGGATTCGTAATCTACATAACAAGAGGATCGTAAAAACGTAAAAATTACCTCCGATCTGTTGACGATTTGCACGGGCTTTGCGAACGAAAATCGAAAGGGTAGAGAGAGTTTTTTGAGATTTTTACCTTTTGTTTTTTGAGAAATGGTAAAAAATGTGCCTGAATGTTTAATTTGTGCCTGCACAAATCATTTCAGTTAAAATATTTATGTTGTCATTCTTGCCAAAAAAAAAAAATCCGGAGAATTACATTTTTGACCCCTCGTATTTTGACCGACTCCACTTTTGATCCTCGTTGTTCTAACGTGAACAAAGTTCACCACCAGGTCTAATTTTAAACACTTTCGATTACCGCCATTACATGCCCGTTAGAAAGTAACAGAAAAACAATATTATGGGGTCAGAATTGAATTTTAATTTTTTTTGGACTGGAAAATATAAATTTTAATAACAACAAAATAAAATTAACTAAACAGATTATTTTTAATTATACTTAATATTGTTATATTATACTACTTATAATTAAATTTTTAATTATAAAACAATAAATTGACTACACAAATATCATCTATGCTTAATATTATTAAAAAATTAATTATAAACAGTATAATTTAAATTTCTAATTATTTTTCAGCCACAAAATAATTTTAAATTTAATTTTGGCCCCATAATAGTATTTTTCGTTACTTGCTAAATGCTAACGGCTATATAACGGCGATGACCAAATGTGTAAAATTAAACATTTGAAGTGAACTTTGTTAACTTTGGAACAACGGGCACCAAAAGTAGAATCGGACCAAAAGTGTACTATAATCCTCCCAAAAAAATCTTTAATGAGTTTTTCTAAGGCCTCGGCAAGATAAGATTAACTGACATAAAAATAAATAATTTAATAAAATCCAATTGTATTAAAGTATGATTACATAATATTTACAGGTTAATCCAGCAAGTTATTGAAATATCAAACTTCAAACAAAGTCCAATTATTTATTTAATCATGACTAATCTTTCCAACCAAACAAGGCCTTAAGATATATGTAAACATTACTCGAGACCGACGTGTTGTTCTCTTCGAGTTCATGTACTTTGATCAAAGTAATGCACTAAAGTTTCAATATTTAACCTTTAATAACTCTGACCGGAAGATATTAAATTAAATTTACCCTTAGCTGAAGAAAATTCAGACACAAAATTAAGTACGCCACGAGATTGAATTTAATTTATTAGGTGTAGCTGCATGGTTGATGAGACTCCACGCTCAACAAATAGTAGACCAGTAGATGCTGAACAAATATTCCATTTCTTTTTTTGTAAATTAGAGTACTTATTTTATTATCCAAACACACCCTATAAAAATCATAAACAACTTACTAATCTGTAAAAATCTGCATTTCATAAATATCAATAATTCATCAAAGACTAGCTAAGCCATTTAGTATTTACTAACGAAAAGCAGGCACCGAGCCGAATACTTAAATATCAAAGTTCGAATCCAGTGTCCAAGTTTCAAGTTTATTATTACACGAAAAGATCATTACATAATACACATTTTCTTTTGAACCCAGCGAGCAGATTGAGCGCAAACTTACCTCGATAAGCTTCAAACATTATGCAAGCATCTAAGTTTACGATTGTCTCGGTTTTCTCAGATTTTCCCAGCTAGAAAAAACCAACCTCAACAGAGAATATAAAACAGCTTGTAAACAAGAAATTACAAAGTTCCAACAAGACGAGGGCCAGTACCATGGATATAGCAATCGGAAGAAGAGACTTATAAGATGCCGAGGGTACCTCCCAACCTGTAAAACAGTATTTCGAGTTATATTTGACACTTAATTTCGGCACAAGAATAATTATACTTGATAGATTATACTTTATTACGTGCAATAATCACTCACGGGAAAAAGACAATCCAAGGCATCCCATGCTGCATGACGAACAGCTCTCGTTGGATACATTGGACCACCGGGCGATGTGAAGCTGTACAGACATGTTTTCAGTCTTGTACTAGTTGTCATTCTGAGTTCTAGACCTGTCGAAAAGAAATAAAATAAAAGCATTACCAAAAGTGATGTTACTACTTTATTCGATACAAAAAAAAAAGGAAAAAAGAAACAACTCAATTCGTTAAACATGCCGCTCACGATTACAAATTAGCAGTCCTTACCTTGGAGAACTTTAAGCTCAGAGAGATAATGCAGAAGAACTGGCTCCACCTTTAGTTTTTGAAGCTGACAGCAAAGATATCAATTTAGAACAAAGAGTAGTCGACTTAGTCTCCCTGCTTGTGAATAAAACTTCAAAAGTATACATCGTTTGTTACCTGATCAGCCAATTCTGTTACAAATATGTCTGAGGGACCACCGATCAAGAAAGCGTTTGGAAAATCAGGAAACTGCTTCAAAAAGCTTTCAAGCTTGTCAACTGTAAAGATTCACATTTAAGATAAGTTTTCAAGTATTGAGGAAAACGGAACATACAATTGGGCTGTTGAGGTAAGCAAATATATGTTGAAAGATTAATCAACCTGAGTTGTAAAAGAACATGAACCTTGAGAGAAGAAGAAACAGGTCTCTCTGAGCCTAATAAATGACCAGAAAATCAAGTTACAGCTAAATATGATTTCATGAAAAAAACATAAGAATCTGATAACGATGAACAATATAAAATGCTCGAGACCTGTAACGGGATCTTCTTTAATCTGTCAGAATATAGAGCAACTTCCTCTAGGAGATACTACAACCATTGACAAAGGTGAGGTCCTAAAGTGCATACCTAACGAGGAATTTTAAGAATTATAACAGTGAAAATTTATATTATGAAAAACATCTCACCTGAAATAGACTTTGGAAACGCCTTGCATTTGTTTGGATATCTATCCTGGATTCATGCATATTAGATATAAGACAACTGCCTCAATCAAATTTCTAAGGCGTAAAAGAAAAGGAAAGGATATTTTGCTCTCTTTAGGTCGAAGGAAGTGATTTGTGTGTGTGTCGTGTGTGTGTGTTGGGAGAGGGATAACATTCTCAAACAGAAAAGGTATATATCAGCGGATGTAATCAAAAAATTTAGGAGTTTCGAGGAAGTAAAAAGAAAGAGATATAGATCATGCAAACACGGAAAGCGGAAAGTAGTTAGTCGGAGAGGCATGTTTCTTAATAGAAGTAAACCAGGAACACATTTCTTCTACTTCTTACTAGGAAAACTCACTCATATCGTACTACCTACCACATTGCAAAAATCACAATTTAGATTTTTCAAAGAAAGCTGCGCCATTGACAACGGTTATCAAACTGCTACTAGCTTTACCTGACTGAGAAAATTAAAGAACATGCTTGACTTCAATCACACTATAGCATGCGAAAGTCACTTAGTATGCTAAGCAACACGTAAAATCTTCTTACCAGAAGACGTTTGTGGAACCTTGAACAAGTGCAGAAGAATAACGGAGTAGGACCTCAGGATTTTCAAGTTGAACCTCGAACAGCTGCAGCGTGAAAGTGCAACTTAAGACATTGGTGAGATGTAACGAGAATTTTCAATTTGTCACTGAAATCAAGGAAACTTCCGCGCTAGAGTAAAGACATACCCACTTGTGGAACAAAAGAGAGAAAATATTTGATGCAAACGACTGGCTCCAATGTTGTACAATCAGATCGAGGATTGACTTCTCATTTTGGGGCATGCTAACAAAATAATCGGCAAGAACATCGTAAAAGCATATAGGGCCACCATACCTATCGTCCGCCACCGAAATTGAACCTTCCTCGCCAAAAATAATATCTGTTTTTGAGTGAAAACGAGAGAAGTACCCTTCAAATGTTAGAACCACTAATACCACCGAAAGTATTGTCCGGACTCTCTGATCTTATCTTAAAATACAAGATCAATAGAAAAGATATAATGCTAACAGAACTCATCGAATAGGTTGAAAGAGGTTATTTGAAACCAAACAAACAATAATCGAGTTACAGAAACAGCGTCTTAAATTCGATTACAGGACACTGAAAGCAGTAACATCACAATTCACAACAATTATTTGCAGGCACAAATATTTCTAGTTAAACATGCCAAAGAAAATTACCAAGATATTAATATGCATCGAAACTGATTACCGGCTTCTTCTATATATGTAACAAATCGAACCTCTCCTTAGCAGTTTTGCTTCGAATTCAAATTAAATTCAGTAACGGCATGCAGTATCTATGAACTTATCAATTAAGTGCTAAAAAACGAGAAAAACGTGCACCAAAATAATTCCTATGATTTTACCTTTCGCACGATCATCTACTTCCAAAGCTACGTCCGCAAACAACTCCTGCAACAAATTTCGCCTCTGCGAAGGAGAAGCCAACGCCTGCAGGATAAACAGCCAAAATTAATATCCAATATCAATCAATCACTAAAAAATTAAATTAAACCACCCAAAAAGTACCAAATAGGAAGGTAATTTATTTAAATTAAAGGTTTTATAAGGAGGCAAAAAAAAAAAAAAGGAATCATCACATAAACAGGCACAACCCCCATAAAATCGATACAGATTGAGAAAATTACATACACGGCGGAGCTTCTTCTCAATCTCGACGGCGAGCGCCGTGAGATAAGCCGAGCCGCGAGCCGTTGACGACGGTGGCATTCTGATCAAATGTAAATCATTTCGAACGAAAAAAAAAAAAAAACCGGTCCTGTATATTTCTACTCCGGAGGCGAACGTATAGTATAGATACAGAAATATATATATATATATATATATATATATTCACAGCAATGTCAATTTGTCTGAGCAGAGTGGAGATTGTAGAAATGGGGGTGTGAACGGAGGTTGCTTGTTACCGAGAGAGATGAAATCTGGTTTTCCATTTTATTTGTAATTTATTGTGGTTTTGATGACTCAGCAAAATGGATGCCTTCAGAGATAGCCATATATGTCCTTTTGTTGATGACGTGGCGTGAAAGAAAGAGTTATATACTATTTTCACCACCTTTTGTTATCTTACTATCATTTTTTCATTTAAAATCATAAATTCACCATACATAAACTCTCTATTTTACCTTCCAAATAAATTATTAAAAAAAAAAATGGAGTTGATTATGTTAAAACAAATTACATTAAGGAACCAAGGCCCGAGATTTGGCTCATGCCCAAATGAGAACATAAGATCACATGGGAGTTCGAGCTCATTCCCTGCATTGCGCTTTGATAAAGTCGGCCCAAAACATTGAAATAAATTAGGCCCATAAATGTAAGGCTCAACGAGTAGAACACGTTGTCATTAGGCGAGCTGGGATTGTTGACGAGCTACAAGCTGAGAGTAGCTGATGAGATGACGAGTTACGAGTTGAGAGTAGCTAATGAGAGGATGAGCTGAGAGTAGACGACAAGATAACAAGCTACGAGCTGAGAGTGACCGACGAGATAACGAGCTACGAGCTAGATTAATTGGTGCCACCTCATGACTTAGGTACTAAGGTTTGGAGAAATATCTTCGATTTGAAAAGACTCAGTTAATTAAATTAGTAAAACTAGCTCTCGAAGGGCTTTTTCTATAGAAAGATGGTTCATAACCCTCAGGCTGATCGATCATTACATGAACATTTTTTCTCTTATTTACGAATATATTTTTATCTGAATCTTTGAGGTGTTTTGTTTAGTCTAGAGCATGAGAGTTCTAACGCATGAAGTAACTCACCCGCCCTCTTTTGCAGGTCCACGATGAATTATGTTTATAGACTCGATAATTGTATTTACGAGGATTGTGAAAGAAAATCTAGCATTTATTTGTTTTGGATTTATCAGAAATGTTAATATAGATTTTGTTTTCTTTCTATTTTCTTAATTAATTTATCATATATGATATATTTTTTAAATTGAAAAGTAACTAAAACCTAATTAAAATACCTAAAAACTAAAGTTGTTGAAGAAAATACAAAATAATTATAGAATATTTGGATAAAATTTTGATATAATCAAATCAATTATATAACATTTAAAAAAAAAATTATAAAATAAGGGCAATACACAATATTTATAAAAATAAAACACAAATAAATTATGGAATTGCACCAAAAAAAAAATTGTTAATGCTAAAACATAATTAGGGAGCATTTGCTAATTAAAATTACTCATTTCTCATTTCACAATTTCTTTGTTTGAATCCAATCACAAAAGCAGACTTCAACTCCAATGGGCGCCTGAAAATCCCTCCGAGAAATGAGGCCGCCCATTCGAGCACGAATCCCCTTCTCCAGACCGCCCCCCGCCGCCGCCCCCCCCAACCGCCGCTGCCCAAAAGATGATGACGAAAATTTCATAGCAATGCTAAACGACGTCGCACGGAGCAAGCAGAGCTGGACAATTGCCCTCGACAACCCCACCATTTCCGCCCGCCTCACCCCCCTCCACATCGAGGGTTTCATCCTCCACAACCTCCACGACTCGAGGTTAGCTCTCCGCTTCTTCAATTTCCTCGGCCTCCACAAAAAATTCCGACACTCGACGGCGTCGTTTTGCTTGCTGGTCCACTCCTTAGTCCAGTCCAGGCTCTACTGGCCGGCGTCGTCCCTCTTACAAACCCTACTGGATAGGGAACGGAACCACCAAAGTGCCGTTGTGTTTCGGAATCTGTTTGATTGCTATAAAAGATTCGATTTTTATTCGGCCTACGCTTTCGATTTACTGATTCAGAGCTATGTCCACAGTCGAAAGGTTCTCGATTCGGTTGTTGTTGTGAAGTCAATGAAGGAATGTGGTTTGTTTCCCGAAGTGCGGACTGTGAGCGCGGTCTTGAATGGGTTGATCCGAATAAGGAGATCCGATATGGTGCTCGTCTTGTTCGACGAGATGTTTGTGGGCTACGACGAGCTAAGACCGGATGTTTATGTGTACACTGCTGTGATTAGGAGCTTGTGTGAATTGAAAGATTACGATAGAGCAAAGGAAGTCATTACCTCGGTTGAGAATAGTGGAGATTGCAAATTGAATGTGGTTGCGTATAATGTGTTGATTCATGGGCTGTGTAAGAGTGGGAGAGTGTGGGAGGCCGTTGAGATCAAGAAAACATTAGGGTTTAAGTCTTTGAGAGCTGATGTCGTCACATATTGCACTTTGGTCCTCGGTTTGTGTAGAGTGGACGAGTTTGGACTTGCACGGGACTTGGTGAATGAGATGGTGGATTATGGGATTGTTCCGAGTGAAGAGGCTTTATCGAGTGTTGTAGATGGAATTAGAAAGAAAGGGGAGGTTAGTGAGGCTTATGATTTAATTGATAAAGTCGGGAAACTTGGGGCAATGCCGAATGTTTATGTTTGTAATGCTATGATTCACTCCTTGTGTAAAGATGGCAAGTTAGAAGAAGCGGATTTGCTTTTCTTGAAGATGGGAAAAAAGGGGTTGCTCGTCCCCGATGTAAGTTATAACATCATCATTCATTTATTCTGCAAAAGAGGAAAAGTAGACAAAGCCGTTTTCCTTCTTGGTAAAATGCTCGGTGCAGGAATAGAAGCAAC